GCGGCCCCTGCCCCGCGAGCGCGTGGGCAGCGCGAGCCGGGGCGACCCCGAAACGCGGCGGCTCTGGGAGGAGGAAGGTAGGCGGGGCAGGGGTCCCGGCGGCGGGGCGCCCCTGGCCGGCCGGAAGGGGCCTTGACCGTAGAGACGGGGGAGAGGGGAGGTTGTGCGGAGAGGAATTCGGTTTCCCTTGTTTCTTTGTGAAGTCTCCTCTCCTCTCACACGTACCAGCTCGCGACTGCGGTGTGGAGCCCCCGACCGCTGCCAAGCTGGCGGCCGCCACTGGGCCGCATTCCCTCGGGAGGGTGCTTTGTGCATGCGCACACCTGGATGGCCAGCTGTCCAGCCCGCAGGCGTATTGACAGCAGGGGACCCCTTGCACACTTGCTTTTCACACACTTCACACCAGCGCCGGCGCAGGTGCACCCCTAGTCTCTTGGAGGGGAGCCTGCCCCGGGCCCCAGCTGTGCAGCTCTGACCAGGCCGACCCGGTGTTCCCTGTGAAGGACCCGGGTTGGAAATGAATCCAGGAGATGTCATCAGAAACCCAGAAGGGTCGGGGCAAGGTTAGGTTTGGGTAGGGCCCTTGCCCAGATGAGATCAGAATGTTATCTGGAAGTTTTTGTCCTGTGGCTGTCAGGAGTCTCTGAGCCCCGGGCTTGCTCTAAAGTGAAGGGGTGGTCGTGTGGCAGGCCCCAGGCACCCCCTCATGGCGCCCCATGCCTTCAGGTTTCCACCAGATCGCCCTGAACAAGGTGGCCGTGCTGCTGCTGGCTGGCGGGCAGGGCACTCGTCTGGGCGTGACCTACCCCAAGGGCATGTATCAGGTGGGCCTGCCCAGCCAGAAGACCCTCTATCAGCTGCAGGCAGAGCGGATTCGGCGGGTGGAGCAGCTGGCTGGCGAGTGCCACGGGACCCGCTGCACTGTGCCCTGGTGTGCCCTCTCTGCATTACCTTGGCCCTCGAGTGATCCCCCCATGTAGCCCAGCCCTGCCCCACCCAAGACTTGAACCCCAACCCCAGCACAGCCCTGGACACAGCCCAGCACCCACCCAGGCTGAGGCCTGACCCTGGCCCTAGGCTGGACCCTGATGGCAGTCCCTGTCAGAGCCCCATCGGCCAGAGTTGCCAGGCCCCCAGAAAGGCCGGCTCAGCCTTGCCTCCTCTTGCAGGTACATCATGACGAGTGAGTTCACGCTGGGGCCCACGGCCGAGTTCTTCAAGGAGAATGACTTCTTCCAGCTGGACCCCGACAATGTGGTCATGTTCGAGCAGCGCATGCTGCCTGCCGTGACCTTTGATGGCAGGGCCATCCTGGAGCGGAAAGACAAGGTTGCCATGGCCCCAGGTACACCCCACCCAGAGACGGGGGGGAACCACCTGGCTTAGAATGTGCAGCTAGCCAGGGGTCAGGAGGACTGAGACAGAGGCCAGAATGTGCTGCCCACAGGCTGTGCGGTCCTGGGCAGTGGCCTCCTCTCTCTGGGCCTTGATTCCCATCTGTCACGTGGAACAACCTCAGGACTACTTGGAAAGTGATAGAGAGCTGTCTCAGGCACAAAGTCCAGCCCCGAGGGGCACCCCCTGCCTCCAGCATGCCCTGGACTAGCCAGCTGAGGCCCGGCGGAGCCCTCCCAAGAGCATGTCCCTTTCTGCCCCTGCAGACGGCAACGGGGGACTGTACCGCGCACTGGCGGACCACCGGATCCTAGAGGACATGGAGCGCCGAGGAGTGGAATTTGTGCACGTGTACTGCGTGGACAACATCTTGGTGCGGCTCGCCGACCCCCTCTTCATAGGCTTCTGTGTGATGCGGCGCGCGGACTGTGGCGCCAAGGTGAGCGCGCCTTGCCCCGCCCCTCTACAAGCCCCGCCCCCGGGCCGCCTTGCCCCGCCCCGTCTTCCCAGCGCGGCCCCACCCAGGCTTCCTGTCCCCTCGTGGCTGCAGGTGGTGGAAAAGGCGTACCCTGAGGAGCCTGTGGGCGTGGTGTGCCAGGTGGACGGTGTTCTCCAGGTGTTGGAGTACAGCGAGATCAGCCCCGAGATTGCGGAGCTTCGTGCGCCCGACGGGGGCCTGCTCTACAACGCAGGCAACATCTGTAACCACTTCTTCACGCTAGACTTTCTCCAGATGGTCACCAGGTGTGTGTAGCAAGTGGCCACGAAGGCTTACCAAGGCTGGCGGGGCCAGCCAAGCCACAGTGACTGGAGGCTGACCTGAACCCGGTGGGGCTGTGGTCAGGAGCCCGCTCTTGGGTTGGGGTGGAGAAAGGTTCTCGCATTTAAACAAGCAGGAGGCACCAGAGAGCCCCTGCAGCTGGTGTGAGGTTCCGGGCCGAGATGGCCTGCTCCTCCTCCTGTGGCGCGGCCCGTTCCCCGCGGGGACCACCTCCGCCCATGGCTCGCCGGTAGCCATTTTGCCTGGGCAGGAATGTGGCTGAAGGTGCCTGGGTCTCAGGCCAGGGAGTGCGGGAGGGCGCCTGTGCCCTCCCAGAGATTGGGCTCAGCTCCACTGCTCCCGTGCTCTGCGGTGTCCACCTGCCGGCCCGCCCCACCTGACCGGGCAAGCTGAAGGGCAGGGATGGGGTTCCCGCCGGTGTCATTTCTAAATTGTGTCCTTCTTCCCCTTGTCCGCCTGTCCTCTCAGGGAGTTTGAGCCCTTGCTGAAGCCACACGTGGCTGTGAAGAAGGTCCCATACGTGGACGAGAAGGGAAATCCGGTAAAGCCGCTAAAACCGAACGGGATAAAGATGGAGAAGTTTGTGTTTGATGTGTTCCAGTTTGCTAAGTTAGTGGCAGAAGTCATTATTTTTTTCCTTCTCTCTTCCTGTTTTGGTGGTGGGTTCTGAGGCCCAGTTGGGCAGGGAAGTGGAGGCTGGGGGGTGTGTTGGGGAGGGCTGGGAGGGCCCCTTCGCAGTGGGGAGCTGGGGGGCTGCAGGGCAGGTCTCAGGGGGAGAAGGCCAGAGGAAGCACCCCCAGGGATGGGAGCACAAGGAACATGTGGTGCAGTGGAAGTCCCTGGGGCTGTGGACTTTGGGGGTCACCGTGCCCCCTCCTGAGCCCTCCGTCTGCCCCTCGCCTGGGGTCAGGAGGCTGTTTCCAGGCCAGGTTGCTGGGGGCTCTCAGGGTGTTTGGCCTTCACTCTGGGGTCCCAGGGTCTGGGGGTTTGGCTGGTGGGAATAAAAGAGAGGGCTCAGGAGAAAGGCTCAGTGTGCCTGTGGGGCCCTCCCCAGGCCTGCTGCTCCCAGAGCAGACCCCGCTTAGTCACTGTAACCTGGCCCGGCCTTCACCTGCCCAGCACGAGGGTTTCCGGGCCAGGACATTGGGTCACCAGCTCTTTTCTTCACCAGGAACTTCGTGGCTTTTGAAGTGTTGCGGGAGGAGGAGTTCTCCCCCCTGAAGAACTCTGACTCGGCAGACAGGGACAACCCCTCCACAGCCCGGCGGGCCCTGCTTGCTCAGCACTACCAGTGGGCCCTGCAGGCGGGGGCCCACTTTCTGGACGAACATGGGGCCCGGCTCCCCGAGCTGCCCAGGTGAGTGTGGGCCCCAGCGTGCTGCCCAAAGGGCAAGGCAGTCAGGGCCCCACCCTCAGCCCCAGGGCCCCTCTGGCTTTGCTGCTGTCTGAGCTGTGGGGGGGGCGAGGAGGGGGTTTCCGCCCCTGCCCCACACTGAACGCAGGTGGCTATGTGCCCAGCCTGGCCATATGGTGACTGTTACTGCAGCCTTTTGGCCCAAGCTCTTGAGGTCTGCTCAAGGCCTTGGGGGAGGTGGGGGACTGCAGCCCTTTCCGGTTCATTCATAAGCTTTGAAACCAAGACCCAGGCATGACATTGAGAAAACAGCAAGGCAGGTCGACATCAGGTTTCAAACTCCCTGGTTGTCCATGGCTGCCCCTAGATCTGGCTGCCCAGATCTGTGCAGGATGCTTGGCAGGAGCGGGTGTCCAGCTCAGATCAGGGCCTGTCACTCAGACAGGAGCAGTTTGCTCAGGGCTCTGGGTGTCGGCAGGAAGAGGCATTGCTGAGTTAGGGGCTGCAGGGGCTGGGTGGGGTTATCAGCCTGCTGGGCCAGGCGAGGAGGGCCAGCTCCCATGACGGTGGTGCTGGGAGAGGGCCCCGGGGTGCGCACCCCTGAGCAGATGCTGACAAGTGGGCTCCCCCAGCCTGCCTGGCAGCAGAGAGCCTCCGGCCATCTGTGAGATCTCGCCGTTGGTGTCCTACTCTGGAGAGGTGAGAGCCCCCCGCCCATGTGAGGCCTTTCTGGGGTGGGGTTTGCATGATCAGAGGAAGATTGTCTGGGGGAGGTGGGTGCATGGGTGGGAAGTCAAGCTCTGTCTCAGTTTACCAGTGGGGTAAATAGTCCCTTAAGTTGCAGAGGACCTTCTGGGTCCCGGGGTGGGGTGAGGTGTCAAGAGGCCGTCACAGGTCCTGGGAGGGGTGGAGAGGACCAGCCAGGCCAGGTCTGAGTCTGGGGTTTGGGGGGTCAGGCTTCTGTGGGAGCCTTGCTGAGAGGAATGTTGGCCCCTTCCCTTGTCTGGTAAGTTTTGGCCTGAGTTTGCTGGGAGGGCTCATGCTGGCCTGTGGTCTTTAGGAGGCATCCGACCCTTGTTTCTGGAAGCCTCTCTGGCCCTGCCCTTCCCTGGCTCCGGGCAGAATTGGGACCCTGCTCGGGGGTGCTGAGCGGGGAACACTTGGCCATCGTGGCTTGCCTGTTTCCAGGGTCTGGAGGTGTACCTGCGAGGGCGGGAGTTCCAGTCCCCGCTCATCCTGGACGAGAAGCGGGCCAGGGCGCTGCAGCCCTGACTCCCTCCCACACCTGCAAAGCCAGGGTCTCCAGGGGTGAAGATGGGGCCTGACCTGGGGCTCTGGGTAGGAAAGCAGGCTGCTGTGCCTTTCCGGCCTGTGGAACACAGAAGGAAGCGTGCTGGTTTACTCCAGGAGGGTGGGACCTCTCCTGTCACCTGTTTCCATGGACACAAGGGATGCCAGGCCTGCTGTCGGCCAACTCAGGATCTTGGGCTTCGCTCCTGGCTGTGGGGTCCGAGGAGGAGGCAGAGGGACTCAGGACCTTGGACAGTGGGGCTGAGAGGAGGCTGTGGGGAGGGGCCAACGGAGGTGTGGCGTCAGCGGGTGAGAGCAGCGCGCCCTGCCTCTCCTGTCTGAGCTGAGAGGTGATGGGAAGGCGGCTCCTCTGCCCCACGTGCACGTCTGCGTGGTGAGAAGGAGCCCCAGCCACACGGAGAAGCATCTCTGCAGATGTACAGATGAGGGAACGAGAGAAGGGGACAGTGTCCTTCTCTCCCAGGGTGACGTGTTCACAGAGGCTGCCCCCTCCCTCCCTGGCAGCTGAACCACTAACACAGCCCAGCCTGCCCAGCTGAGGCCCACAGCAGAAGGGGCCCGACCCCTACCCATAAAGGCTGGTCGCTCAGGGAGAGCCGGCTCTCAGAAGCTCGGCCTGCACACCTGAGACCGAATTCTCTCAATTCCTATCCAAAGCCTCAGCCTCTGTCACATCAGTGGCTGGTTTAAGCTACTGAATTTTATGTGCTTCCCCCAGAACCAGTGGCGGCCTCCTGCGGTGGGTGATTAATCTCGAATTTACCAGGTGGGGGGCGCCATCCCTCGCCCGGCCCACCAGGAGCTTCTGACAGCTGTTGGTGCTCCCCCTCCTCCCCGGCTCTGGTGGGGGGGGACACAGCCTCCATATTTGGGGCCATGGCCCCCTCCCTGCAGCCTGGCCGAGGCTGGAGAAAACCAGCTGGCCCTGGGCTTTTGCCTCTGGCTTTGCTGTCTGGGCCCCGGCACCTGCTCTCCCCTCTGAAAACCAACGCAGCGGCACCACCTCGTCCCGTGATGTGTGGAGCAGCATTAATGCAGCCTACTGCCCCACTGGGTCACCCACCCCCTTCCCTCTCTGCTGCAGCCCGCAGCCCATCCGTGGAACCCCTGGTGTCCCCAAGGCAAGGACGTTATCTGGGTGGCGGGTTCAGACGCAGCTGATGACTCCAGTGGCTTGGGGTGGACGGTGGCTGTGCCCATGCATCCTGACCCGGGCATGACGGCAGGGCCAGGGTCACGCCTAGGCTCTGCCAGTCTTGTGCAAACCTCAGATTCAAACCATGTGCCTTAGGATCCTTCTCTCAGCTGTTCTACAGGCAAGCAGAGGGCCGGGGGCAGAGGGGGGGTGGGCCAAGGAGGAGGCCTGGGTCCAGGTCCTGCCCACAGCGGCTCCTCACTGCTCTAACTGCACGAGCTCTTCTCTACACAAGTTGAGTTAGCTGGGTAAACGGCTGAAACAGCTCGCTTTTTAAAAACTTTATTTTCAGATAACTATACCTTCACATGAAGTGTCAAACATAGCAGGGAGAGGTCCTGGGGACCCTTCACAGTTTCCTGCAGTGTTTTCACCTCACGTGGTCACAGGACCCCGCAGACCAGGAGAGGCTGGTGCTGCTCTAAGTGGCTCACCACAGGTGTGGATTCCTGCGCCTGCTCTGCTCTCAAGAGGCAGGTGTCCCGTCACCACAGAGACCTCCCTCATGCTACATTTATGGTCACCCCATCTCCGACCCCAGACTCCCGCTAATGAAACAACTGGGTTTTGAAAGATTGCCAAACTCCTGATTTTCCACAGGAGGTGGGGGATTTCCAATAAACACAACGTGCTGTGATTGACCGCCTGGGAGTGCGGTTTCTGACGAGTACGTGTGTGCTGGGAACAGCACCAGGTGTTCACAGCTCTGGTCCATCCGAGGGCTGGAGCCCAGTGGGGGCCCTTTAGGACCAAGAGCCCACATGGGCGAACCCGCTCTGGGCTGCCCAGGAATTCCCTCGTGCTCCCGTCCAGCTCTTCTCCAGGGTCTCAGGGGGGCCTGAGACAACCTAGTGGGTCAGGCCCCCTGGGGGTGGGCCCAGAACCTGCCTCTTGACCCAGCTCCGCCGGGGCGGCCCCGGCGCTCTCAGTCCGAAAGCCTGGGGACTAGCCCTCCTGCACCTGCATCCTCCAGATGCCACCATTTCCCTGGGAACAGGCTGTGCAGGGAGGGACGCCTGAGGGCATCGCTAGGACTACCCGAGGAGAACAAGGGGCAGGAGAGCGGGAGGGGCTTCCCGGAACCGGTTCAGACAAGCGAGGCGCTGAGCAGGGGGCGCGCACACTGGGGAGCCCTCCGGACACCCAGAAATGCTGCAGCCAGGACCGCAGGAGGCAGCGGGCTCCCCCCAGGGGCAGTGGGCAGCCTGGCCTGGAAAGCCGCAGGGAGGGGCCGAGCTTGAGGTCCGGCAGGGCAAGAGCCGGGCCGACCTCGCCGTGCGGGGCCGCCGTGCGCCCCGCTTCTGCGGAGGGAAAACGCGCGCACAGCAGAGCGCGGCGACGCCTCGGGCACCCCGAAGGCTCGGGGGCGGGACGAGGAGCCCGAGAGCCGCCGCCTCCCACCCCGCGCGGGCGGCGCGGACAGTCCAGCGGGCCGCCCGCCCCCGCCAGCCCCGCGAGTCCAGGAACAGGGGCCCCCTGCCTGCATGGCGGGGAGGCCGGCCGGTCCTCACCGACCACCGCCCGTCGGGGAAGTCGCGGCCGGGGGCGCAGCGGGGCCACCACGGGGACCCGGGAACCGGGAGCCGGGGCTGTGCGAAAGCCAAAACCCTCTCAAGTCCAGGCCACCGCCGCTTTCCGCTGAGATACGCGGGGGCGCCAGCATACGCAAGCGCCGCAAGGTGTAAGGTCACCGCGCAGGCGCGAGAGCGCGCCTACGCAGGAGCCGTAGGCCGTATACCTCACGCAGGTCGCAGCGAGAGCGTGCGCAGGCGCAGTGGGGTTAGTAAGGCTCGGCGCAGGCGCATCGGCGGCGCAGCGCGATGGGCGTGGTGTGGTCGGCGCTGCGATGGCTGCCCGAGGCTATCCGAGCAGCCGAGTCCTCGGTCCTTCTCAGCGCCCGGCTTCCTGACGCGGCCACTGGGCGGGATCCCCTGGGCCGCCTCTGCCGCTGTCATGTATCCGCCGGCGCCGCCGGCGCCGCCTCGGGACTTCATCTCGGTGACGCTGAGCCCCGGGCAGGGCTACGACGGCAGCAAGACCTGGCGGCGGCGCTCGTGCTGGAGGGTGAGGGTCGTGCCCGCGGGTCCCCTGCCCCGTCCCGCCGCGCGCCGGGAAGCGGAGGGCGGCCGCCCTCAGCCGTCTCGTCGCGGCCCAGCCCTGCGGGCAGGCGCGGGGAGGGTCTGGGGGAGAGGCCGGGCCGGCAGGTCTCGGCGCGCCTCCGCCGTCTCCGTGCTGAGTGGAACCTTCGTTCTCCCTCGGTGTGGAAAAGACTGGGCTCACCCTGCTGAACCACGGGTGTGTTCCTGGTGGTCCCTGGCTGCAGGGCGTCGGGACACCACGTCTGGGCAGACGCAAGGCCCAGCTGGGTGTCTCAGCCGGAACCCGCGAGCTGCGGGAGTCTTCGTCCACTGCCCATGCAACGGGACAGAAATGGTTTCCGCGTCTGTTTTTACTTCATCTTACGTGTGCCCGTGCATTATGTCGCTGGAGTGTCGTCCCAGCCCTAATCCCTGCCGAGAGGGAACAAAGTTCAGAAACAGTAGAACTCAACCCTGCACCTTCGGAATTGCTCATCCTCCTCGCTGAGTCTGTAGCAGCTGGAGAGATTTCCAGTTGCGTCATTTTCAGTAAAAAGTGTCATTCTCTGTCCGTCCCTCAGAAATGGAAGCAACTGTCGAGATTACAGCGGAACGTGATCCTCTTCCTCCTCGCGTTTCTGGTGCTCTGCGGGCTCCTGTCCTACGTCAGCGTGGCTGACCCGTGGAAAGGTATCAGCTACTCGTGTGGCGTAACATGATGGGTGCGGGTCGTTGAGGGTTGACAGGCAGGACGTCTTGCAGTCTATCTTAACTGCCTCCAGGAGGCGTAAATGTCAGCGGATTGGCAGAAATCCAGCTAGAAGGAAGCGTCCTGTTGTAACCACCTAGCTAGGACGTGGATGTTAACTGGCACTGTCTGATGCTTCCTACGGGTCTGGTGTCAGTCCTGGCGCCTCCCTCCTCTGCGTCTACAGAGAAATCCAGTCCCGAGGTTGAATGCTCAGCCTACAGGCATTCCATGAATTTCATAACACGTGTTTCCGTGTGTTTGGAAAGGACTGGGCAGAGTTCTGCTGAGGATGTAAAAATCCTGAATTTCTCTAAGATCGCTTCTTTAGGAGGAAAGCTAAAGAGCTGCCCCAGGTCGCTCAAGTAGACGGCTTGTTTGCCACCATTTGTACTTCCTGGAATGGAACATTAAGGCCCAGTGTTTTGGGTTGTGGCTTGGGGATGAGGACAGAACTGCCAAGTGCTCTTAAAAGCTTTCATTCTCTTTGGCCATTCTTTTTTTTGAGATCATATTGGTTTATAAGGTTGTGTAATTTCAGGTGTATGATATCGTATGACAGTTTCTGTGTAGACTGCGTCCTGCTTTCCACCAATAGTCTAGTTTTTATCCGTCACCATACATATGTGCCCCTTTACCCGTTTTGCCCCACTCTCCCTTCCCCTCTGGTCACCACTCATCTGTTCTCTTTATCCATGTGTTTGTTTATATTCCACATATGAGTGAAATCGTACAGTGTTTGTGTTTTTCTGTCTGTCTTATTTTGCTTTCGCTTAGCCTAATACTCTCAAGGTCCATCCGTGATGTTGCAAATGGGACGATTTTTTTTTTTTTTATGACTGAGTAATATTCTATTGTATATATATATCACATCTTCTTTATCCATTTTTCAATTGATGGGCGCTTGGGTTGCTTCCACATCTTGGGTATTGTGAATAATGCTGCAGTGAACAGAAGGGTGCATATATCTCTTTGTATTGTTGATTTCATGTTCTTTGGATAAATACCCAGTACTGGGATAGCTGGATCGTATGGTATTTCTATTTTTAATTTTTTGAGAAATCCCTGTATTGTTTTCCATAGTGATGCACCAGTTTGCATTCCCACCAGCAGTGTATGAGAGTTCCCTTTTATCCAAATTCTCTCCAATGCTTATTATTTCTCGTCTTGTTAATTATACCCCTTCTGACGGGTGTGAGGTGATATCTCATTGTAGTTTTGATTTGCGTTTCCCTGATAATTAGTGATGTTGAACGTCACTAATGTGATGTGATCACTAATGTTGAACATCTTTTCATGTGCCTGTTGGCCATCTGTGTATCTTCTTTAGAAAAATGTCTGTTCATATGCTCTGCCCATTTTTTGATCGAGTTGTTTGTCTTTTTGTTGTTGAGTTGTACGAGTTCTTTATATATTTGGAAAGTAACCCCTTCTCTGACATATGATTTGCAAATATTTTTTCCCAGTTGGTTGGTTGTCTTTTCATTTTGTTCATGATTTCCTTTGTCTTTGGCCATTCTTGAATCACTTAAATGACTTCTGAGGTATCCTGATGTCCTCTTATAAGGAATCACACCTGTCTAGACGTATCTACGGCCCACCATGCCTCTCCTCTAGGCCTCGTGGCATATTTGAGATGCATGAGATTCTCTTGTTTAGCCCCGAATGGCAGGTCAGCGGAAGAGCAGAAGATGAGACCAGCAAATCCACCAGTCTTACCAGCTCCTCAGAAGGCAGATGTTAACCCAGAACACTTCCCGGGGGTCTTACCTAAGGTACTTTCAATAAAATATGTGGAGTTGTAACGGGTCAGTTCCAGAAGCACTTCAAAACATACATGGTATTTCAAACAGATGGGGAAGAATTCTTTTTCTTCCCATTTGTTTGATGTTTT